GCCCCCGCAGCCCCGCCCGGTCCCCCGCCCGCGCCCCCAGCTCCGGCCAGCCGCGCTCACCGGGGACGCCGGGGGCTGCGGCACCGGCCTCGGGCGGCTCCGGATCCCGGCCTCTGGGAAGCAGGAAGCGGGAATCAGGAAGTGACAGAGGAGCCGGGGGCAGGGGGCGGGAGGGGCGGGGCGGGGGCTCGCGGGGGCGGGGCCGAGGTCACGCGCGGAGGGGCGGGGCGGGAGACTACGAGCGGGGCCCCGGACTCCCAGAGCGCCGGGGCTAGGGGAGCGCAGGGGTGGCGCCTGGGCGAGCCCCGCCCCTCAGGCGCCCGGCTCCCTCCGGGGCGTAGGGGCAGGGACAGGGGTGGGGGTCGGGCTGGAGGGGCTGTGGGTGCGGGGTGCAGCCTGCCCGCCGACCGCGGCCCCTTCCCGGCCCTGCTCCTCTGGCTGTGCCCTCGAGAGTACCAGGATTGGGTGGAGCCCGCGGTGCCGAGCCCCCATCCCAGTGCATGCTTCCGGGTGCCCCAGTCCACCCCTGACTCCAAAATACAGTATCCAGGCTGACAGTCGATATATTCACGTGCCTCTTTTTAAAGGTTAAAAAAGTACACGCTCGTGATGAACAATGTAAATACAACATTGGTGTTTTAAGGGGCACGTGGAAGGCCCAGCCAACTCAATGTTTCCGTTGAACACCCCTGGGGCCTGCTGGGCCTCCTTATTAAAAATAGAAATGGGGACATGCCCCCTGCCAGATTCCAGCCTAGTGGTCTGTCCGCAGATGTCTCCCTCCTAGCTAGCTGCTGGGACAGGAGCCCAGACTGGCCTCTTCAGATCTACCCCATCCCTGTCCGTGGCCCACCCTGGGGGAACTTGGGTGTCCCTGTAGGTCTGACAGGCAGAATCTGTCCCTTCTGCCTGGGGTTGGTGTCCCTGGGGCACTGGCCACCTCCCTCGTCTTCCTTGAGGTGATGGTCAGGGTCTCTTTCCCAGAAAAAGACAGGTAGGTGGAAAGAGGAGGGAAGAGCAAAGCCAGGAGTCTTACCTGGGGCAGCGGGAGGCCCCACTGTGTGTCTCGCCCAGGCTGGGGCTTATACCCTATTCACCCCCCTTCCCACTCCCTGATGAGGAAACAGCTCAGAGGGGAAGGGTGCCTGCCCCAGGTCATCCCACCAAGATTTAGCCCCCATCTGTTTGGCTCCAAAGTCCTTCCTTCTCCCTCTGTTCCACACACCCTGGGACAGGCCGGCCCTTCCAAAAAAGGACAGGAATGAGGGTGCTTTGGAAGAAGGAATGCTGCCACTAAGACTCTCTCTCCATTGTGCCCTCCAGGCAACAGCCAGGGGTTGTCTAAAGCCCAAGCCAGACCCCCTACCCCAAACCCTCCCCTCGGCTCATTGTCACACTTGAAATAATGCCCATAGGCCTTGTGCCCCCCACATGTTACCTTCCTCTGTCCTCTCCCTGCATGTGGCCCCCGTGACACGGATCCTCCCGTCCCTGAAACAAACCACCTTCTTTCCCACCCCAGGGCCTGGGTACACCCTGCTCTTTCCATCTGGAAACTCTCCCCCCAGCTTGTGAAAAGGCTCCATCCCTCACTTTCTCCAGGTCTCAGTCCAACCCCTCGCTGGTCACTCTGGCCCTTCCTTGTTCCTCCTGTACCCTTCTCGATCCCTATCTGATGTTCTATTATGTAATTATTTGTGTATTTGCATTTTTGTCTGCCCCGCTCCACTAGAATGTTAGCAAACTGTAGGTAGCACTTTGTCCTGTTTCTCATCGCATCCCCAGCACTTAGGATGAGACTTAGCACACAGCGTGGGGTCAAGTCCTCTACGCTGAATGAGTGAACGAACAGCAGTCCCGAATGTAGAATTGAAAATGTTCATATTCACAACTCAGAATAAACGTACCTCTCAGCTGGAGAAGGGGTGAGTCTCCTAGAGGGCAACAGGAGCCCCTGCCCTCTGGGGTTTTAGGGGTGAGGCAGATGGATCGTGGAATGTCAGGCATGAGCCCTCTCTTCAACCTGTCTGGCCTTGGGTGCGCATGCTTCCTCTAACACAAAACCCTCTTCTGGGGGTCACCAGTAGAACTCCTCTTTATCTCACAAAACCCTTCGTAGCACTGCTCTTTCTCCTGGATAACAATTCCCTGTTCTGGGTGAGATTTCCCCTCAGGGACCTTGGAGGTGGGGCTAGCCCACTCTCCCAAAGGCTGGGTTTGGAATGGGGACCAGAGCTGAAGGCAGGTGGTGGGCACTGGGGTTTTAGTGTCTGATCTGCCTGTCCTTTTGAAAAAGCTTTGGGACCCCTCTCCGGGAGAAGAGGGAGGAGCACTGCAGAGTGCCCCAAGGGGGACACCAGTCCAGACCCTGCCTCTGGGGAGTGTGCACCCAAAGGGGTGGGGCAGTGGGAAAGCATTTCTTGCAGAAGGGGACGCAGTATGGTGGAGGGGACAATGCCTAGTGGGCAGGATGCTGCCACGTGGGCTCTGGCCCCTGGGTGAGTGTCGGTCCCAGGCCAGGGTGAGGTTTGGGGATGCCCACGGGCATAATTAACTTAATGGTTAATAATTATTCAGCACTAGGGCGCTGGGTGGCTCAGTCATTAAGTATCTGCCTTCGGCTCAGGTCATGATCCCAGGGTCCTGGGATCGAGCCCCACATCGGGCTCCCTGCTACGCGGGATCCCTGCTTCTCCCTCTCACACTCCCCCTGCTTGTGTTCCCTCTCTCGCTGTCTCTTGCTGTCAAATAAATAAATAAAATCTTAAATAATAATAATAATAATTATTATTCAGCACTTACTCTGTGCCAGGCAAAGGATCCAAGTACTTCATAGACATGAAACACTCCTAGAAAATGGGGACCATTGATATGATCCCCATTTTACAGATGAGGAAACAGAGTCCCTCTTCAGCCTTGCTGAAGATAACACAGCTGGTGAGTGGTGGAGCTGGGATTCAAAAAACCCGCAAGGGGCCCTTGAGGCCATGACCTCACCCCACTCATGTGTCCCCAGAATGGAGAGTTGGCCGGAAGGTCATCTAGCAAGTGCTCAATAAATGAATGAATTCAACAAATTTGTGCCCATTCAGAAATCTCTGTCCGGCAACCTCAGCGTCCACAGTCCCATCAGCAGGAAATGCTAGAATTCTGCCCCCCACCCCCCGCATTGTCACCGTTCAGCGTGTTTCCATCCCCAGGGCCCCGTTCATGACAGCAGCAGCCTTTGCAAGGGGAACTCTACCACCCCATTCTACAGAGGAGAACACCGAGGTGAAGAGGGAGCTAGCAACCAGAACCCAGCACCTGCACCGCTGCCTTTTTCAGAGTGAAGCAGCCCTACAAGGGCAGCACAGAAAGCTCTTTCATCTACACCTGCAGGTCAGGGCAGCTCTTGGCTACTGGCAGTGGCAAAGGGCCGGGGGTGGGGGTTGGGGGGCCGTTAAAAGGACGAAGGGCTCATGGTTTTGGAACACAGGGGGGTGAGGGAAAGCTGGGCGTGGGGGGGCAGCCAGAAGGAAGCGCTGGTGTGAAAGGGAAGGGGGTGGGGATGAGAACTTCAGCGCTTCCTACTTTTTCTTGCAGTGTCTGCAGCTTGAGAGGGAAGAGGGGAGCTCTGACCGGAGATGCTACGTGACCTCTTGGGGGCCTGTACCCTTTCTTGAGCCACTGGTCCCCAGAGCTCTCTGTTTGAACATCGTCCCCTCTCTGCCCTGGGGCTGAATGCATAGAAGGGGCTCTGCTGGAGACTGGACCAGGGCACTCGCTAGACCGCGTGGTGGTGGTGGTGGTGGGGGCAGGTGGACACTAGTTGAACCCTTGAGTGGAGGGAGCAGATGCTGAAGTCCTCCGGGGCCATCCAAGGAACAGAGTCGGCCCCATGCTCTCTCAGGCCCCAAACTGGTTGTGGGCACAGCTGATCTGCCCCAAAGCTCACAGGCCCCGCACCCGGAGGCCAGGCCGCACCTCCTCCCGTCCAACTCCAGCCCCTGCAGGGACATCTCTGAATGGGAGCGAGGGAAGGACTTCTGTTCACTGAGGCCCTACTGTGTGCCAGGCTCTAGCCGAGTGCCTCACACACTTTCTGACTGAACCCTCCCCACGGCGGATGCAACAGCAGCTCAGAGGGTGAAGCAGCTTTTCCAGAGTCACCAGTGCCTGAGTGGAATCCGAGCTCCGTAGCTCTGTTCCTCTCCAGCTCCCACTGCCTTGCTGATGGAGGCCCGCCGCCACCACGGTCTCGCTACCTGTTGGGGGCAGGGGGCCAGGCCAGCCTGTGTGCGAGACCTGTTGGGGGCAGGGGGCCAGGCCAGCCTGTGTGCGAGACCTGTTGGGGGCAG